ACTTCTCCCTTTCATTTTTTCATACAGTTTATGCTTCTTTCTGGCTTTTACAAAAATGCAGGGATACCGCACTTATTTCGGTACAATATGATCGTAATGTATTTTCAATTCGAAATCAAACAAAAACATCCCACGAAAATGTTTGCGATTTTAGAACCATTAGTGAATATTTGCAAACTACTGCAAATAATAGAGTGCCATATCTTACAAAGTTCAGAGTATTAACGAAACAAACAAGCATTTTATGGCTTCATGTTTCCTTCAAACCGCATTGCTATTTTTTCTAACTTTTCCTTTTGTTTAGCGCTGTAACCTATTAAGTTATATCTTTTAATTTATACATGTGAACTATTTTCAATGAGCATTTTTTCATTTGCTCCAGAATTTTGGGTACATTTTCTTATAGTACCTCTCATTCTTTTTTATATTACATATATACACTCCGAAGTTCGGGATAGTATTTTGAATATACCAGCAATATATGTAAAAGTAGTGCCGGCTGCTGTAGAGCATTACGCAGAGCCTGAGTTCAAGCCCAGTTTTTCTAATAGTGGTTGCCCCTCTGTTGGTAATAGTAAACCTCCGAGTGTATTCTGTCATGGAAACAACTTCTCATTAAAATACAATTGCCGTTCGGAGTCGGCGTAAAACTGTCCTTTACTTTGTGTGACAAAATCACGCACGCCGCATATCGGAGGAGAAGCTAGGCCAAACACTAACATATTGTTCAAGCGATATACATATTCGTCGTTTAAAGTACAAAAGCGCGTATCGTGGTTCTGCAAAACCTCGGAACTGAAATTTGTGCCAAAAAAGATATTTGGTCATCGGAAGCTCCTGACATCAAGCCCTTAGCCATTTATAATAAAATATCGATATAATAAAATATCGACTTAGACATAAGGAGAGAAGATTATTAAGTTTAAAAGAGAGAACCGTTTTTAAAATTTAGGCAACCTCCCATACGAGGTTTTGCATTTCCTTGATGCGCGGTTTTGTGCTTTAAACGAAGATATGTAGAAGTATTGCATACATATTTTGGTGCCTTTTCAAGTATAAAATCCACTGAGAAACGGAAGAAAACGGCATCCCTATGATTTTAACTTATGCCAAACTTTTCGTAAACAAGCAATTCTGAACAAAAAACTGTTTTTCCACAAAGATGTTTAAATGGAAGCATTACAAATATAGAAAAATAGCAATCCACAAGGCTTTATTGGCAGTAGGTCCTTTTTAAAGCACATTTAACAAAAAAATAAGCTTCTAGTTTCGAAGCTAGCACAAAATAAAATTTTTTTATTTGTTGTTTACAAAAAAAATATTGTCTAGTATACAAGTCAAAATTGTTAAATATATATCGCTTTCATTCATTTCTTCATAGAGTTGGTGCTTCTTTTATTGAAAAATTCATACGGCTTATGAACAGATTCATACCATGTAAATGCACCATTACTCTCTCAAAAGCGTTCCCACTTACAGGTTTTATGTCAATAGAAACGGCTTCCTGTAAGTTCTGACTAAATTCTGTAAACCGGACTGCTATTGGAACATACTAAGTTCTGTAGACGTAAAACACCAATGCCATACATACATACATATCGCACACTGTCTTCAAAAGGGTCACAACTCACAATTTGGCATTTTTGAGCTTATGCGCTAAAAATGCACGCAGAGCTTTTATTTACCTTTCAGCAAAAGCTGGGGCAAATTCTTGTTATAATTTGTTAAAAACCCTAAGGTAAAGTCGGCCTGCCCATATGATTATCATGTGCTAAGAAATAGTTTTTCGCATTTTCTGACAAACGTATTATTTTGAGTTGTGACTCTTCATACATTCATCTGCTAAACGCTATTTAATGAATGAATATTTTTTAATAATAATAATAATAGTTTAACAACAATTTATTAGGAAAGAATATTATTTTATTATTACAGAATATTTTTCTCTTAAAAGAATTAAATTTAAACTAAAAAAAAATTATTTAAAAAAAAACAAAAAATAACCAAAAAAAAGAAAAATAAAAAGCTCTGCTGGCCCATGGCTCGTACTCGAACTCGGATCTCTCAATTGGCAGTCTAGTGCTTTGCTCACTCGGCCAATGCGACTGCTGGGGCGGCATGAACATACATAAATGTCTATTGTTACTGTAAACAAGCTCACGGTAGCATACGATCGACAATATTAGTTGCATTCCTTATCTCCCAGAAATAGTCAGAAAAAGTCCGAAGTAGTCAGATTTAGTCCAACAAGCATTCCTTAAATGAAAATGACAGCAAAAAATGAGAGAGCAACACTCAGTGAGAGTGACTCTCTCACTCAACTGAATTTAAATTAACGGAAATTAAAGAATACACAAAAAGTGAGAATAATCTAAAAAGTAAAAAAAGTGAATTGAAAGTGGAAGAAGGCAAAAAATAATTGATACAGTAAGTGTTTATTGTGCTTGCGCTTGTGTGAATGTGTTTTGTACACACATTTCTATTCTTATTTGACGTTAGTTTTGTTGTTGTCATTCTCTTTTAGTGAGCGCATTTTGCTTACGCTCTGGCATTTTGACACTTTTCAGATTTTAGTCCGAAAACATAAGGAATGGACCTATTAATTGCATCGCAAGCTTTCTCTTAACCTCGACCGGCGCATGTAGGGACGGATCGAAAATATAGGCCGACAAAAATGTTTACTCAATATGTATTTGACAAATTTCAATGGAAGTTGGTATTTAGGGGTTTTCGTTATCACTGATTTCGAAATATATAAATTTTCAAAATTCAAAATAGCGGATACAATATGGCGGACGACTTTTTTAAAATAATTATGGATTGTATTGAAACTTGATAGCTAAGAACTCTTGGAGTCACTATTTGATTTGATTTACAAAATTCATATAATTATATATATGTAGTATGTATATAATTGTAATTAAGAAATTAGAAAACGATGACCTATTTAATCACACAATAAGGAGGCATAAATATCTCAGCTAGACGGCCAAACACTTAAATTTAATTTTTATCTCTAGATTACGATACCGTTTTCAGAGAATCCGGTAAAATTTTAAGATATTTAGTGTGGATATTTTATGAAAAAAATTCAAACTTTAACAGAAAAAAGTTAAAAAAAAAACAATTTTTTGAAAATTTTTTATTTGTCTTAAAGCCCTTCTTTTACGAAAAAATCAAGCTACTAACGAAGAAAATCGGTGGATAAATAAAAGAATGGTGACTAGGCAAATCAAAATTAGAAATAATTTTTTTGTATGATAAATGTATGAGCAGAAAAAACGACAATGGGCCGTATGAATAAAAATAAGCAATTGCTTTTTCTTAAAATTTCAGATCTTTTACTCAATTTATTCAAACAAAATTGAAGTAGGAAAGTTGGAAAGGTGATTGAAGGGCCTTTCATTCGAAATATGCGAGAAAAGGTAAAAAACGAAATTATGGACATTTTTTTTATAAAAATGTTTGGTTTTCTTTAAAAAATACGTAATTAACTATATTAGCAGATATGTTTATCAGAAAGAGCACAAAAATACCGTTCCGACATTCCCACGACAGCCGGTTCTACGTACCGGAATGACTCGGGTTTCACCCGACCAAGGGCTGTTGTTTCGGCGATCTAACCCCGTTTAGGTCGGCGAAGTATCTCAGAAGTTGTCCGTCCATAGGGCAACATTCACTACGCATTCTCCTACTCAGGGCTGGCATCGAGTCAAACCCTGGGCCAGAAATATACACCTGCTGTGTATGCCGAAGACGTTTACACCACAACTCCACCTCAGTCAAGTGTAATGCCTGNGGGCAGAACACCTTTTGCAGAGAACACCTTTTTGCATAGGCGGCCATCGGCCGCGCTTAGGGATTATAACCATCACTACGTAGAATTAAATGGATAATTAATCAAGCTACGCTATCCACAGTATTTTTGCGTATAATTCCTTTCTGCGTAGGCGACCTTGGCCGCGCTAAGGGATTATAACCCTCACAACGTAGAATTCTCCTTTCTGTGTTGCCAAAAAAAAGGGGCAGAACACCTTTTACAGAGAACACCTTTTTGCGTAGGCGGCCATCGGCCGCGCTTAGGGATTATAACCATCACTACGTAGAATTCTTCTTTCTGTGTTGCCAAATAAAAGGGGCTGAACACCTCTTGCAGAGAACATATAACATTAATACAGCTGTTTTATTGCACTGCCTGCAGTTGTACTTAAACCTAACTATATAAAATTATACGCCAAATTAAAGGTATTTTTATGGACTTTCCGATAAACATATTTGTTAATATAGTTAATTACGTATTTTTTTACGAAAAACATACATTTTTATAAAAAACATTGCGATAATTTCGTTTTTTTAATTTTTCTCAAAATTTGCATTATGTACATAGATATATATCTGTGTTCGTATGGAAAAGTAGCTTATGTCGAAAGGCGGGCTTTAGTATAAATCGGCATTCGCAGCATAAGATTGCGAATGACTCACCGGCGCTGAGTCGTAGAACAACTTTTGGCAAATATAGGTGCAAGAAATAGTTCAGATACAAGCAAGTCAATATTCTTGTCAAGTCTCATCCAAAAATTCCTTGTCGTTTAAAGAATAAAGGGAATGCCGCATTATACTAAAGCCAGCCTTTCGACATAAGCTACTTTTCCATACGAACACAGATATATTGAATGAAAGGTCCTTCAATTACCTTTCCAACTGTGTCCATGATTTAAAAATCGGTTCAATAGTTTTCAAAATATAAGCATTTGAAAATGTTGATTATTCCACATTTAGCCCCCCCTAGCGCCGCCCCTGTCAATTTGCACCAAAAAAAAAGTTTACCATTCAACTCAGCAGAAAGGGGTGCACCACGTCCACGTTTTCTTTTTTCTCTCGCTCAAGGGTAGGTATTCTTTAGGTATGCCGAATATTCTTTTGTTCATCGCTTTTTTAAATTCCGAAATTTAATTTTGCGGATAACTTACTTTTATAACATGCAACTTCGTTATCAAATATCAGTTGGTTGAACTTACAGAGCTTCCTACCGCTATCAATGTTGTTTCCTCCGATGTTTTGTGCACATATTTTCGTGGCGTTGTAAACTTTAACGACACCATTCTACGATTTGTAGAGACCGTAGTCCACGCTATCGCCCTTAAAGCCAATAGCTCACAACCAGGCAGTGACTGAACGTGTCTCAATAGGAAATCCGTATCCAGCTGGTTGAGGCGTAAGCTACCGATCAAGTCTGGTAGTATCTGTCGGCGCCCTTCAGCGTCGTGTTCATACCAGCGTTTTACAGCCTCAAAGACATCTTTTTCGCAACTCACATTCAATTTATCGCTCTCTATGAGTGCCTGCAATCTCTCAGCACTTAAACTTAAAAATTCAGTGCTCTGGTTCACCTACAAATAACGATATATGTTGTAATCAAGAAATGAATGACAAAAAAAAACAGACATGCTCCTAAAAGACACACCTCCATGAAATTCTCTAAAACATATTCAAAGAGTTTCTCGTACAGTGGTACACACTGAGTTTCATTCTCTAAGCAATATGCCCGTTGCAGCGTATACTCAGTTATATGCCCGGAAATATAGTCAACGCAACTCAAAACGGCCCCATCTAACTTCAAAACCATAGCCGCCTTCAACATTGCACCCACATTGTCTATGGTTATGAGCGTTTTGCCGGTGTAGCAAAATGTCATTAAACGCTCAAAGGTGTCACTATTTACGTTGTTTAACTCGATAACAGGAGCTAGGCCCTGGGCGCTTTTGAAAAGGTCGTTGAAGTAAGGACTTGCTGATGCGAGTATCAAGCGGTGTGCTGGAATCCTGTGAAAATGGAAATAAAATAATTATTCTATATATGTAGGTGTGAATCAATTGAAAACTTACATAGTAGTGGGGTTAGGCAATTGAAATGTAACATCTATAAAATCCTGCTCATCGTAGAAATCGCATATTTTATTCATCTGATTTTTAATGAAATAAAGGTCATTGTCATTCACATCGGGAAGAAGTTGACGTGTAAAAGCTGTCGCCATATCTGCTCGTATTCAAAACTGCTTTATTAAAATCAAAGTATTTTTCAGATTTGTTGCTCTAGTTCCACAGCGCGCCGTTGATTATCTAGGAATGAAACGATAAGAGTAATTAAAGGTACATACTCGACACTTTTCGTTCGATACCTAGTAATTTTGGTATCGATACTTTTCAAACAAGTACTGAGTAGATGGCGAAAAACACGAGTACTAATACCATGTTCTGACCGACAACGAAAACACTTTGAAAACGAGTTTTGGGATTGTGGGCTGAAGGCTGTTCACACCGGCTGTTACTGTTTTCGTTGACATTTCTTACATGCTCTGATTACAGTTTTGCTATACAAAAGCAAAACCAAGATGCTTTTCACTCATAAATAATCGAAAAAAAGTAGTGGAGACGCCGATTGGAATGAGTGGAACGTGAGTTTTCAAGTAGTTTTCATCGAAAACTGGTTTTCGCTTGACAGATTTTACATGGACGAAAACAAAAGCTTTAGGTCGAAACCAGTTTTAGCAACGAAAACATCTTTTCGATGTCGGTCGGAACATGGTATAAGCCTACCAGCAAAAAATCCGACAACCGATCCGAAAAAGGAAAAAAGAGGATGAAGTGCGGATTCTTGTACGTTTAACGAATCCATTTTCGGGTACTTTGACGATCAGTTTTCCCACTAAAGTGTGCGGCAGAAACGTATGTACAGACATCTACCGAAAATTGTTTGTTAAACGGATACATTTTCGGCTGTTTTTTCTGAAATTTTTTGATTCACATATACTCTTTCATAGTTCAAAAAAAATTAAATAAAATTAGTAATCGCCTGACGGAATTCGAACCCGGTTACCTTCTGTAAGCTAACAAATAGCGGCACGTCCTTCTGCACGCTCAGCCTTTGCCAACCACGCATGCATGCTTTCAAATATTTAGCTTGAACAAATAAAATACAATTATTGCTTTTAAATAACATCATCTTTTTCGAACGTTTTCCGGGTACGAAATTGAATGAAAACTGTAGTTGTTTTCTATGCGTTTCCAGATACAGAAAAGCGCTCTAGACTACACTGCCGGAAAAATGTACGTTTCTTTGCTGGCAGGGAAGTAAGCACAAATTGAGCTGTTTTCTATTAAAATATTTGTTATTATGCACTTGGCTGTAAAATAGCAAATTTTGTAATTTTTTCAGTGATTAAGTCCGGCGAAAATACTTGTTAGATGCCATCTTACAATGCTTTTATCAAAATAAAAAGTTCCCACGCTGAAATATTGCATCTGATAAAATTTATATCAGGCAATAAAAATTACAGTATGTAGACAAAAACGTTGCCTGTGGAGATGGGCCGTTATGGCTGCTTAACTTGGAGGTTACACAAGTCACAAGTTACAAGTCAAACAGCTGATCACAGTTGTTCTGTTCCCGTGCTTCGGGATTTAGTCAAAAATAGCTAGGAAGATATTACTGCAGGAACGAGGCGCGAATTTTAAGTTGTTGCCTTGACGACGGCATCTTGAAAGTAAAGTTGACTATCAAGTTGCATGCATCCTTCGTCACAGTTGTCAATTCAAACGAATTTTGACAAACAGTATTCTGTTATCAACTTGAAACCAAGTGCTTGATTGTGTGACTACACTGTAATTGTCAGTAAAAACTGCGAGAAGGGTACAAAGCATTGTGCATACTTACACAGCGTTTACATGAGACAATTTTGCCAAGACAATGGCAATACTTTCACACTTTTTCTTCTCAATTTTCTTACAAGTACAAGAAGGGTACAAAGCATTGTGTAAGTGACAAATGTTCTTCTTCTCCCT